GTATTGTGAAGGAAAGGTAGTGGCCTATTACATTTAACAACCCCGGCATTCAGCTGAAGGACATAAGAAAGCCGTGAAAGATCCCAGTCAGGGTTAATTGGCAATCTGACTTAGATTCGAAACGTGCAAGTCGGAAGTTTTTCGTCAAAGGAGCCTACTTCTCCTCAGAAGACCAATATTCACTGGGAGTCCAAGTTGTATGGGTGAGGATAAAGCTATCCCTATACCAGGCCGTGAAGGCCCATAGGGTTGTGAGACGTTGAGGGTCCCACACTATCTAGACAATCGGCTCAAAGATGGCGGTAAGGATGTCAGCCTTATGCGCTGGCCGCGCTTTACTCCCCAGGAAAATTATTTAATTAATTCCTGGTAATCATTTCTGTTAGAGGCTGAGTAAACCCCAGGGCCTAGTGTGGCTGGAAGGATTAGGTCAATTAAAAGAAACCCAATGACCTCATCGGGACTTGAACCCGCGACCTTACGGCTTGTAGCCTATCCCCTCAACCAACTACGTTACCGCGCGCTGTATGGGTGAGGATGACAGAATAAATTATAAAAATATTTAAATAGGTGCTTGCGCAAGGGCAGAAGGCGCGTTTTGAGAAATTCGTTACCCCAGTTAGCGTCTGTATAAGGCCATAGCTCAGGCGGTTAGTCGCTGGCTTCCCAGCGGCGGCCCGGGTTTGACCTCGGGTCTGATCAAGTGGGATTTGTGGAGGACACAGTGGCGGTGGGGCAGGTTTCCTTTGAGTACTTCGGTTTCCCCTGCCAATCTTCATTCCACCAAATTCTCCATCTCATAATCACCCGGAGCAGGCTACAACAGGCCAATCAGTGGCCGCCGTGCCGAGTGGACCCAGTTGGACTCCACCCCCCACTAAGCGAAGTTTAATTAATTTTAGCGTCTGTATACCACATTATCAATTTTCCTGGATAGTCTCTTTCCAAAAACAGAGATACTATGTATGCGACCAGAAGACGAGGAAAAAGACGTAAGAAGATGCTGGATGACCTTGGGGACAGGAGAGGATATTTTTATTTGAAGGAGAAAGCTCTAGATCTCATTAAGTGGAGGAACTGTTTTGGAAGAGACTGTGGACCTGCCGTATGACAGATTACTGATGAAAAAAAAATATAAGATCTGAGAATCTCTGAGTCCTTCCGACTCTCACCTGTGCAGTTACAGACTGTGTGACGAAACTTCTCTGAGTAGGACGAGTATGCTGACGAAAACTTGTAATGACCTTGTGAAGCGGAAGGAAACGACAAGAAGAGCCCCAGTTTCACACACTGCCATTTCTGAAGTGCGTCGGGCTGGCAAGCATCCCGCTTACGTAGCCCCTTAACCCATTAATCCTCTAAGGTATATCGGGACGCTTAATTATCCCATATTTAGTCGACCCTGATATTTTTTTACTGCTATGGGGTGGGACTAAGTCCCTTGTACTGCGGCCACTTCTGGCCTATTGTACCAGCCCCAGATGATAGGTGAGGGTGATTGTGGAGCAATTGGTGGAATGAAGATTTGCAGGGGAAACCGAAGTACTGGGAGAAAACCTGCCCCAGTGCCACTTTGTCCACCACAAATACCACTTAACCAGACCCGGGATCAAACCCGGGCCGCCGCCGTCGGAAGCCAGCGACTAACCGGTTGACGTATGGCGCGACTCTATTAGTCGGTCCTGATACTTAAAACGCATAGTTATGGCACTGCAATCGTCTTCTTCATAGGCTTTGTTCAAGTACGCTTGGATGGGAAAATGATAAATACATGGAAATTTTAGTGAGGAAATCACTTGGAAAGCAGCCGTTTGGAATAGCGAGGCGATGTGCTCGTAATTAAGTTAGACCGTGTGAGGCTGGTAATTTGATTCAAGTGGTCTGTCATCGTTTCTAATTGCGGCCTCTATTATTGCTATAATATTCTTAACTCTTCTGGATGTATCCACAGAGAATAAACTAATTACGTAGCTAACACTCTTTCAAAAATGGCGTAGGCATATTCTGTAATTTTAAATCGAAAATCTCTCAACCCTGAAAGATCGGCAGTGTTGCATGCGTGCGGAAGGTCACACGGACAAAGTAATTAAATCAATGGGTGCTGTTTGTGAAAACCACCCAATAAATACGCCCTAACATTAATTTGATAACACGTTTATTTGTAACAGTATTTGTTTAGCAATGTCTGTCCTTGATGAAAATGAATGGACATCATTCACTATCTAAATCAATGTTTATTTTTGTAGATGTGGGTTCTCGTACATGCAAATCCTCCTACACGCTGTTTGTATCCAAGGTTGGTGTAGCCATGGCACAATTTCCTTATAACTATATGAGATCGTTGGCTGTGATGGCCACAGAGTGTTACTGGCAAGCATTGACAGCCACATGCAGTGTCATGGGTCTCTTACGCTTTGCTGTACCCAGTGAAATGTTAATAAACACACTTTTGCTCCAGCGACATACTCCGCTGCTTTTCAGATTTTAATAAGCTCCTCGATATGTCATTTGACTTAATTCGGTTTTTAGTATAACGACATGAATTAGTGAAAGAAAAAATTAAAAATAGAGACACCGACAAATGGATATACACCAATGTTTATTTGAAAACTTAAAGGCCTATTTCAGTTGAGCGCAGATGGGAATGTTTTTTTTTTCGGTTTATTTTGTGACGCTGTCAGTATTTGGATTGTACAGAGTTGAATGGTGGATGGATAACAAACAGAAAATGATTTTGAAAAAAGCTGGCGTGGCCTAATTGTATACTATCCTGAAAGTTTCCTGGAGGGGCTGAGGGAACCCATAAAATCCTTAGACAGGATAGGCGGTGTCTCGTCCGATATTCGAAGCGAGAACCTCTAGAAAACAGGTCTGGAGCGTTATAGCTACATCAAGGAAATAAGTTGAAGATGAAATTTATTTTAATATGTGATCTAGGTTGAAATGATTTAGGGTAGGATCCAATGGTGGGTCTTTTTTGATGATTTTGGTGAAAATTTGGGTTTCGTAAAGAAACATTTCACGATATTTGAATGAGGATCGCCTATTCAAGAATTGCCCTGTACCATGGGTGTAAATTATTTATGTATTCATTACTCATGATCATTTACAATATTATTACAGTGATTTTTGCGTCCGTAATTCGCAAACTGCACAACATTTATTTCTTTCATTTAATATTACCTCTCAAGTGCTCGACTTGGAGTACTGTTAAGAGCTTCCTCCTATGAAGAAAAACAATATGGTAAGATTTAAAATACCTGAGCACACTTCTTATAGAGCCAGTCGTTTAATAAGTTAAGCCAAAATATGAATAGAGATTTGAATGCAAGGACGGTCATAAAACTAACTTATTATCATGTGGCATAAGGGCATGGTTTTCCCTGAATATTTAAGTTTCTTTCACCAAACATCACTCCAGCAATGTGCATCTACATGACCTCTCCTGATAGTTCCGAGCAGGCAGCACATTGTCACAACCACGGTCCTCGGTTGGCACTTCACACCTGACCGAGCAGTTCACTGAACCCAAAGTAGTTTAATTATCTGTCATCTAAAAATATTGCTGCCATATGTCCCATGGAAAAATAATGTCGTACTGACAATTTCAGGACCTCTGGAAAATGGGGAAACTCCAGAGATCCTGTGATGTTTATAGGGCCTACAATTGTATTCATTTTGGAGACTTACCAAGGCGAGTATTAAATGGAGAAATTTAAATATTCGAAATCTCCTTTTCCTCGAAGTTCTCGAAGTCAATGTTATAAACGAATTTAGTTACAGCTTATGAAAGAAGACGACATATATGTGAAATCTCTAGTGCCTCCTTATATGAAGTACCTCATCTCTGATTTTTACCAATCCTGGAATAGTTTCTTGAAACTTTATTGGATTCTCCTCGCTCATAATCTTCCAAGTTAACAAGACTATGAAATGACTGAAGGTATTATGCAGTTCAGCTCAATATAATGATTCACAACCAATTAAATTAGAAATGGGGGATGCAGGACCCCATAAACCCAATCCCAGTATTACTGAATCGATCTCAGAATCTAAATTTTCATCTCAACATCCGAAATCTTAAAAACAAGGCGTGAGGGCGTGAGCTCGAGAAAGGCTGCTTCGCACCAGATTACATGCTGCCCACATAATACTCGTAATGCTCGTGTCATTCAGCACTGAGGAAATCCAAATATTTTCAAGACAGAACATAGAACCCTACAACACAAATGGAGTATTTTACAGCTGTCATATGATAAGCAGCTTTTGGGATACTGACCATCAAATTCTAAATCGTATTTAAAATATTTTTTTGTTTAAATTAATGGTAATGTTATTGATCTAACTGATTTCTTCCACGCGGTAATAACGCACTTCCTTCAACATTGTTTTCATGTTTTGTGCTCCAGACAACAAAATATTTCATAGCTAGACGGCCATTAAAGATATATTTGAGTTTAAACAAAACAGAATATAGTCAGAAATATATTGTTTGCAGACATTTCAAAATGTACTCAAAAAGACTTGTTTGTTTCGTGTCATTCGATAATTTATACAGGCCAGAAAATATTATTTCAAACCATCCCAGATGTATCGGAGGAAGCTGTGCTTTTGTCTGAACTCCTTGCGCTCGTCCCGTTCCTATGGGCGATTTCCATTTATAAGGTGTAGCACCGAATTTACAGTTGCGGGGTGAGAGGCAATCAAAACTTGTAGGACCCTATCAGTAATATCAAATTTAGACTATAACTATTTTTTGTTCATACTTCTTATAATAAACAAAAAATATTAATTAACTTTTCATGATTTTAGAGAAGCAAATGTCTCAGTCAAATTTGTGGATTCTATTTGTTTTGAGGAAGTCCCGTGGCGACCGACCTAGTCGCTCCCCTTAAATCCGAACTTGGATGGGTATATTATCCCAGACTGAAAAATATATTGGACAAAACTATAGACAGCAAGAAAACGTACGTTGAACGCTTGACATAATCGGTACTTACCGACGGCGAAAACCGTGCCGACGAGTGTCAATATGAGCAGGCTGTGTAGTTGCAGCATGATCACGGTCAAACTGGGTCGGATGCAGATAGCACTCTGATGTTTCTTGAAACGGACCGCGTCTTTATCTGTGGAGTGCGACTCGATGTCCCACACCAGCGCATCAGTGCGCGACGTGCAATGAGGTCAGCTGTGACGTCGTTATACTGGGCGGTTACAATATATGCGAATATATGCGTGGTGTCTCACAAAGTTTTCTTTTACTTTGTATTATCATTACTCAATTATGATATTTCAAGAGACTATTGATAATAAGGAATCAATTTTTTTTCCTTGGCACTACAGCCCCAGTGGGCCTAGGCCTACCTCCATGAACTCCGTTCACTTCGGGTTTTCTCGATCTTACACATGCGGTAGGACTCCTTGGGCGAGTGATCAGCTCGTCGCAAGGCCTCTATCTGTAGACAAACACGGAAAAACGCACACAAACATCCATGCTCTGAGTGGGATTCGAACCCACGATCCCGGCTTCCGAGCGAGCGAAGACAGTGCATGCCTTAGACCGCTCGGCTACCGTGACCGGCAAGGAATCAATTAATTAATGTTATTCAATTGGAGACTAAAGTTTGACATAATTTTCATTTTTGTTTCTCAAGCATTCTCTTTTTATATTAATTTTGTCAGCAAGAAACATAATTTGGTTTGTTGTGGCAATAGATCAATATAATAAAGTTTATAATATTACTACTCGAGTTGCTCGTTTCAGCCCTGAAGACCGAGGTATCACTGTTACTCGGAAACATTGGTATCTGCCTATTAAATTAACTGTGTAACAATCAACAAGATCATAATCTGAATAATCACATATATGAAGAGCTCAAGACACACAAATGTAAATATTAGTGAGATTTTGTTTCTCACGGTTGTGGTCATGGATTTTTTTTAATTCGCAAAGTGGGGGGTGGAGTCCAGTTTGGTCCATTCGGCACGGCGGCCACTGATTGGCCTATTGTACCTGCCCCGGGTGATTATGATGATGGAGAATATTTTTTTGGTGGAATGAAGATTAGCAGGAGAAACCGAAGTACTCAGAGAAAACCTACCCCACTTGACCAGACCCGGGTTTGAACCCGGGCCGCCACGGTAGGAAGCCAGCGACTAACCGCTTGAGTTATGGCGCGGCCTTTTATAGAGATTTATTCTTGTACCTCGAAGATCAGGTAGTGGTTTCCTCCGAAATGTTGGTAATGACCAGTCAGACTACGCGGGTAATTTAAACATCAGTGAGAAGCAGAATTACTGCGTACAGGTGAGAAATTTAAACTTTTAAGAGTAGGCAAGCAGAATCTTGATAACAAAATAAAGTATACAATTTATTATACTGTACAATACACCATATAACATATTCATGTTTTAAAGTGCTCTGAGGCGGCAACATGCACCATGAAGCAGTGTTACTCTTCGTTTTCAGCTTGTCGGAACTTCGTCACCGTGTAACGTCGTCAGCAAATGAAGCAAACGTAGTCTGCGAGAGTTGGGGGTTTCACGAAGGTCAAGATTTTGGTTGTGATCTTCCGGGTTGTGACACAGTGCAATCTGTTAGCCACTTATCATGTTCTGAAAGAACCTACTGCCTCCATCATCGCAGTGGAGGCAGCCGGTTCCTTCGAAACATTTATAAACATATACCAGACTAAATGGCGTCAGAACCCAAAAGTTCACAGCCCAACTGGATTACTGTCAACAAGAAGTAATGTATTCTCATGAAGACCATAAAAGAAACTGTGATGACAACAGAGCACTCAACTAGCTCCACAGAGTAGAGTCAGTTTCTAGAAGCTGACAGTCAATCAGCTTTTCAAGAAGTTTCTCGCCTATTATGGAATTTGAAGACCCATCACCATGTACACAAAATCCCATAATTGCTCCCTATCCTGAGCCAGATGAATTCAGGCCTCACTACACCACACCACCCAAACCTATTCCTTTATAATCAGTTTTCATATTCTCTTATATGCAACTAGGTCTCACGCGTTCCCTTCCTTTCAAGTTCATTCTGCATGTATTTCTCGTCTCTCACATTGTGCTACTTGCCTCTCCCATTCCATCCTCCTTGAATTCATCATCCTGGTAACATATGGTGAAGTGTGCAAATTATGAGCTCTTCATGATTAAAATATTTCCAGCTGCTACCTATCCCTCTTGTAAAAAATATCCTTAGCGCCATGAACTCAAACACCTCCCTTCTGCGTTTTCCTACTAGAACAAATTACACGTACTTAAGGAATGTTAACAAAGTATTGCGTTATCATTAAAGCCGTGATGGATTAACAGAAATACCGTAAAGTTGTCTCGAAAATATGGTAGAACATCATAATTTTCGACATTTATAATTTACGTTAAATTTTGGGTTGCCATTTTCTAAGATTAAATCCGAACCTGACATCTGCCAGACACAATCAGAAGCGTTGCCGCTTAAGCAAAATTGTTCTCTTCTCTCTTTTGAAGTATACGAGAATCCGCTTAACGGCGAAAGAACTGAAGAGGTATTCATGGTTTGGAATTTTGCGTTTTTGTGAAGCGTAACGGTAGAGGTCATGTCAAGCCGATCATACGTCCATGTGTCCAATGATTTACGCATTCAGATTAATTTGGTGCCGAATGTGCTTCCTAATCCATAATACCGGTTCCGATGCCAGCTGAAAAAAATTTTAATAGAACATGTTTATTTTGAGTACGAACACTGTCCTTTGCGAACCACTTGACCAGAGACCTTGACCTATTTGCTGATACAGGTTGGCACGGTTGACAGGGTTGACAGTCAACAATGATCGTAAAGGATCGAGAAACAATTTATGAATCGATTTATATTGGTTCAACCCGGTTCAACCCATATGACAGTCGAATATGGTCGAAGATCATCGAAGATAGTGACAAGAGAAGTTGAGTTTTAGCTACGAAGACAGTAGCAATTACGAACGATTACGAAGGCACCAGTTATGGAATCACTTAATTATATTCCAAAATACTATCTAGGATGAGATGCCAGACTACACGGCGTCACATCCCAAAAGACTGTAATATTCATAGCAATCGGTTTGAGATCCTCAAATTTCACTGAAAATTGTATTGTCTTCGATACTGACATCCCATCTTGCCACTTACGATTCGTCGAACTGTAGGTTTGCGACCATAACGATATGTCGAACAGAACTTAGTCGAGCAGACGTTTATAAATATGTTTTTACAATTTGTTTAATTGGCGAAATATGCAATATGGAAACTTCTGAACTGTAATGATTCACTGCACATTATTTAAATAGGTTATGGGTGTTGTGTTGTGCATCGGGGTATAACTATGTGGTGCGATAACACTATAAGTTTTGCACCAAATGTTTGTCGGCTGTGTGCCAGCGTTAGTGAGGTTGTCATTCCAATGTTTGGTAAAGAAGGGGAAAAAGAAAGAATTGATCTAAAAATCAGGAAATGTTTACCTATTGTTGTAAGTTGACAAGTATGAAATCATTTATTGTATATGTAGTAACCATGTGCTTGCTAACTCCACTTCGTGGGTGTAAATATGTTGAGAATAGAACATAGTTCCTGTCATACTCAATTTTCTGTTATATATTTATCCAAGGAAGTCTAAGGGAGAGTTGCGTTTTGTTTTTAAATGTTTATAAAAAATGTGAGGTGTTCCTGCTGCTGGATGTTTAATACATTGAGGGCTGATGCTGGGTTTTATAATATGGAAATCAGTATAATCGAGTTTCGTGGACTGATCATATGACACAAACATTGTAAACTGTATGATGCATGATCCTACAAACTGCTTTTCTTACTATCCCTTTAAATTTTTCTTAATGTTGGTGTTAGAGGTTTGTCTCTGTTTATGTTTTAAGCAGTGGTTGAAACTTATTGAAACAGTTTTTCTTATACTGTAAGTTTTACATATTTATATGCTTAGGTAAGGGAAGAAGACTGCAAGCCAAAGCAGGTATGCTTCACATGTGTCTCCAAGCTTGAGGTGTGCATGGATTTGGTTGAGCAATGTCTTGCTGCAGAATTCAAGTTTGAGTCAGTACTGCAGGCCAGGTTTGCAGTTCTTAAAGGAATTGGGGCTGAAGCAACATCTCTACAAGTTAGTATGAATTCAGTTCCATAATATCGATTCATTTATGCTCCAAGTATGTCAGCCTTGATTTTTAACGCAGTATCTGTAGCTGTACTGTATGCTGATGTACAGTCCTTTCTAACCCCTCACTATGGAGTTCTTTGAACTGCATGCTGTAGTTTCTCACTGTCAAGTCTGTACACATTGTTAGTTTAGTTTAGTTTATTGTAAAATTCCATCGATCCAATCTAGGCTACAAATACGCCTGACGTATATAGAACCAGTCACAGACAAGTAACTAAAATACACATGCTATGAAAAGAGCATAGGTCAGATCAAACAATAAACCAAACTGTTTATCTTCCTACTTTAATATTAATCATAACAACATCTTAAATTTAATATTGTAAAAAAATCATACCAAAAGGTAGATGATAACATATTTATGCCAAAATAAATCACCTATGATACATAAAATCTTAAAAATTCACATTAAAATTATTAATTACTATTAAAAAAACATTAAGTTAATAAAAAGAATTCAATAGAAGGTAACTATTAGAGTATTTTTAAAGTGATTCTTATCATCAGTCAATTTTTTATGCAAGGAGGTAAGTGATTAAATGCCTTTATACCCATATAATAAACACCATTTTTATAGATAGACAACCTTGGTTGTGAAAGGTAAAAATTATTTTTACCCCCGGTGTTGATATCATATAACTCTGAATTTGTTTTAAATAAGGAGATATTATCAATTACAAAAATTAGTAATGAAAATATGTACTGAGAATAAAACGGTAATATATCTAGTTTCTTAAACAACTCCCTACAGGAATCCATATTTCTGGAATTTGTAATAATTCTTATGGCCTTTTTTTGTAGTTTAAATATATTGGTACTATAAGGTGAATTCCCCCAGAAGATTATACCATATGATATAACTGCATGAAAATAAGAATAGTAAATCATCCTTGGTGATTCATGGGACACAAAGGGTCTTAAAGATCTAATAGCATAACATGCTTTGCTTAATTTAACCATAAGTCCATCAATATGATGCTTCCATGACAAGGAGCTAACAACAGTAAGACCTAAAAACCGAGTACTTGTATTGTTAATAATATATTTATTATTATAACTGATATCTAATTGAATTGTTTGGCTATTAGTGGTTCTAAATTGTATATACTGAGTTTTGTTATAATTTAATGACAGCAAATTGATATTAAACCATTCATTCCTCTGTCTGAAAGAGGTAATAATACCCTTCTTAAAATTTACTAAATTAGGATTACTAACAATAATGCTGGTATCATCAGCAAACATGACTGGCTTAGAGTTATAATTAACTACTTTAGGTAGATCATTTATGTACAAAAGAAAAAGCATTGGTCCAAGTATAGATCCCTGTTTAATCTTCCCCCATTCTGAAGAAGTATAAGAATGTGTTAATTTATCATCAATGAGGACTCGTTGATACCTATCACTGAGATATGATTTGATTAGAGCATATGCATTGCCTACAATTCCGTAGAATTTCAGTTTCTCCATTAACAAGTCTTGAGTAACGCAATCAAAAGCTTTCTCGAGGTCACAAAAAATACCTCCCACAAGTTCCTTATTATTTAAGACCTGTAAAATATCATTTAGAAGTGTAAACGTTGCCTTTCCTGTTGAGGAATTGCTTCTAAACCCAAACTGTTAACTAGATAATATAGCATTATTTATTACATGTTTAGAAAGTCATATATATCATCTTTCAAAAATTTTAGAAAAGGAAGTTAGTAATGATATAGGCCTGTANGCAAATTGATATTAAACCATTCATTCCTCTGTCTGAAAGAGGTAATAATACCCTTCTTAAAATTTACTAAATTAGGATTACTAACAATAATGCTGGTATCATCAGCAAACATGACTGGCTTAGAGTTATAATTAACTACTTTAGGTAGATCATTTATGTACAAAAGAAAAAGCATTGGTCCAAGTATAGATCCCTGTTTAATCTTCCCCCATTCTGAAGAAGTATAAGAATGTGTTAATTTATCATCAATGAGGACTCGTTGATACCTATCACTGAGATATGATTTGATTAGAGCATATGCATTGCCTACAATTCCGTAGAATTTCAGTTTCTCCATTAACAAGTCTTGAGTAACGCAATCAAAAGCTTTCTCGAGGTCACAAAAAATACCTCCCACAAGTTCCTTATTATTTAAGACCTGTAAAATATCATTTAGAAGTGTAAACGTTGCCTTTCCTGTTGAGGAATTGCTTCTAAACCCAAACTGTTCACTAGATAATATAGCATTATTTATTACATGTTTAGAAAGTCATATATATCATCTTTCAAAAATTTTAGAAAAGGAAGTTAGTAATGATATAGGCCTGTAATTTTTTATATCTTAATTGTCGCCTTTTTTAAATAATGGCTTAACCACAGAATATTTTACTCACGTAGGGAATGAAGCAGATAAAATTGACCTATTACAAATATAATTCAAAGGAGTGATGATAAATGGAGAACTTATTTTAAGAATTTTTACTGAAATTTCATCATATCCAAATGAATTTTTGGACTTAAGGGATTTAATATATTTTTTTTAATTTCTGTAGTCGTTGTATTATCGAATATTATATTTGGAAAGGGGTTACTGAAAACTCTGTATAGATAATCAATACAATTACAGGGTGGGGCATATTAACCTTTCCGATTTCACAAGGTCATTGCTGAGGCTAGGGAGGGGCTAGAGTGGTGGGGATGGTATTGTTAGACGCGTTATAGCGTGCAGTTTTCAGTACACAGAATGGCATGGTCAGGAGAACATCATGCGTTCGTGCTGGAAGAGTTTATTAAAAATGGTGGTTCTGAGATCAAAACCCAGCAAGCCTTTCGCACTCACTTTGCTCTCGGTCGGCGTGATCCCATTCCCACTGGACCAACAATTAGAAATTTGGCATCAAATTTTAGAGCGAAATCTTCTGCAGGCTGGACCAGGACTTCAACTTTGGCGGCGAATGTGGCTAGAGTGCGGGCTTCAATTTTGCAATCCCCCAAGTGTTCTGCATGAAGCATGTCGCTGCACTTGGATTATCTGCCCGTAGTGTTAGAAGAATCCTTCATAGAGACCTCAAAATGCACCCATACAAGATGCACATAGTGCAAGAGTTAAATGAAAGACACTTTGAAACACGAAATTTGTGCGACATTCTGCAGAGTATCCCTTCCACAGCTGTTTTCATCTGTAGTGACGAGGCCCATTTTCACCTGTCCGGGACTGTAAGTAAACAAAATTTCCACTACTGGGCTGAGAATAACCCTTTGAACCTTCACCAACGACCACTCCACAGCTCTTGAGTGACGGTGTGGTGCACTGTTTCCGAGTGTGGTGTCTGGGGTCCCTACTTCTTCGAAGAAGATGGTGAAGTAGTTACAGTGACTTCTGCTCAATATTGTTACATGCTTGAAAATTTTCTTTTACCAAAATTGGATGAATTATTGCAAGATCATGACCTGGAAGATATCTCGTTCTAACAAGATGGTGCTATGGCCCACACCTCGCGTCGTTCAATGGAGATTCTAAGACAAATGTTTCCTGGTCATCTTGTCTCTTTGCGGGGTGACATCGGGTGGCCCCCCAGACCGCCTGATCTAACACCATGAAATTTTTTTCTGTGGGGCTACCTCAAGGCAAAGGTGTACACGCATCGTCCCCAAACTATCGATGAACTGAAGGCTGCCATCACCGAAGAAATCAACGCTATTCCACGGAGTATGACTCATAGAGTCATGGAAAACTTCCGAAACAGGCTCTGTCGGTGTATGGAAAACGGAGGTGACCATTTGGAAGATACTATTTTTAAACCCAGTTAAAATAAAACTGTATTCTATGTCCTTTCAAATAATAAAATAATTTTGCCTGCATCTTTCTTTATTTCTATTCCACGCATTTTTGAAATCAGATAGGTTTATATGCCCCACCCTGTTTATCTTCTAATTCCTCATTGTTATTGATATTGGAAATTATATTGTCTGCTGTTAATAGAAAGTAGTTTGAAAGGAATCAGCTATATGCTGTTGATTATCAGTTAAAGTACCATTTATATAAACTGACTCAAACGATTTATTCCATGACTTTTTACCTCTTATAGATTTAACAATTTAACAATTGTGCGTGATCCTGGTTGTAGTAGCCTCTTGCACTTATTGTTGGCATAATTACAAAATAGTTTAAAGAAACTGGAAAGAAAAGGAGCCTGCCTCTCTAAATTACAGCATCTAACCCAAACATTGATACTCAAATAATATGTTGGACAGAAATGATTTCAGTGCATTACAGTTTTGATATATAAATATATACAATACACTCCCAATTACACAAGCTATTGAAGGAGGAAAATCATGAAAATAATTACTGAAAAACATGGATAATCCAAGATGCTTCATGGAAAATTAGAAATATATCCAGTTTTTTCAATGATCACAAAAACCATAGCTGTAAGGAAAAAGTGTGCTGAACATAAAATGTGTGATTCATTTTTCTCTACAATTTCTCTTCAGAATGCTCTTTTAGACTGAGAAACCTTAAATAGGGATTCTGCCATACCTATGGGGAAAATAAAACTTGGAGAACTTTAAAAATAATTTTATATGTATTTCTTAATATGTGGAAGCTTCCAAAAATATTGGCACAGGAACAGATATAGCAATGCTGTGATGTGTGAGCTGGAGTCTCACAGTAGTGTTGTTCAGTTTCTGTTAGGTTAGCAAGCATGATAGATCCCAGAGATGAGTACATTGTGTGGACAGCTTTGAACTGGGGAAATGGATCCCCTCAAGCAGGAGGCTAGCATAACATCTTGCCAGTGACTGGGGAGTTTGGAAATTGAAACACTGCAGGTGCTTTGGTCAGAGTTTAGTGAGCAGTGTTCTGATCAAAGACATTTGAGTGACATCACAGGTTCTATATATGAAGTTTTGGAGCGTGATCCATGCAGTGGATGGCCTGCAACGCTATGGAATG